TGGCATTCTTGAACAAAGAAATACAGTCACAATGCCCCTATGCTGTATTGAAAATTTAGCGCAGGGGGTCAAAATTATAGCGTAGGGGGTCAAAATCATAGCATAGGGGGGAAATTTAGCATAGGGGGTGAAAATCATAGCGTACTGGGGGCCCCTACGCTACTTTGCGCTAGCTAGAACCCTGTTATTATGACAGAAGCTTGAGGCATATTTGTTTTAAACTGTCACATTTAGTAGTTGGTAGGAATGATCATGGAAGCCTCCACCTTTCTAAGGAGAACAATATGATAAAATATTAGTTTCCACTAGACTAACATTACAATGCGGCTTCAAAAATAGCAAAATTTGCAGTTTAGTGCAGGTAAAATTGGAGCTGTGCACTAGTATATTCTAAGGTCTATACCTGCACCTAAGCTGCAATCTAAATACATGTACATGTAGGTGTACTAGTATGTGGATTTTTATTTGAGGTACATGTATCTTAACTGTTACCCCGTCCTACATGTATGAAGTATGAAAGAAATAATGGCAATGGTTTCTGAACTGTTTTCATCTTGTGATCCATATACTTCCTAAATGTGGTGCAGGTAAAATTTTAAATGTTACTTGTTACCTACAATGTAACGTTACCTACACCAGTGCAGGTGTGGAGAAAAAAGGATATCAAGCCCTGCTATATAAATGTAACTCTCTTAAAAGGCCAGTCTGGATACCTTGAACTTTAAAAGACAGGCTAGGACAAATTCTACAGCTTAAAAAGGCCCACCCACATACTTGGCATGTGTACGTAAATCGAATATATTACATGTACGTGTATGGCTCTACCTTGAAAGATCATAATTTTATGGACCTCTGTATTATTATGCCATATGGTACATGTAAAGTAGCATATATAAAAGCCACTGGGTATTACATATATGTCTTTATATACTACAGCATTTAGGATAGAAGAAACACTGTTTAGGCAAAACTTAATGCATGCTGCGTTGAGGGATATGAATTACTGTACAGTTAGAGTGCTTGAAAGGAAATGGATGTAAAAACTAAACCACTGCGACAGCTATTTACCGTGTCTGGTACACACATTTAGATGCTACGTCCCGATAACAGTCTATTTCCCTTATCGGCATGTTTTGTTTCCACAGTTTTGTATCGTGATTATTTGGCGCTGACCTTAGAACCGCGTGTTTGTTTTGCAGGTGTGTGTTATTCGTGGCGGAGACCAAATATTGTTGTATCCAGTAGACACCCGGCTATTGTTGACACAAGTCAAGCATGCTGACCTACGGCTAAGGCACTACTCCGGAACCGCTGTCTTTCTCTGGGAAAAAGATGGGCGATTCTTAGCGATCTTCCTGTCTGTTTAGTCGTCGTACATATCGCGCTGCAGTTCTGTAGAACTCTAAAATGGAGAGGAAAAACGACAGCAACATGGCCGAAACGGAAGAAGAACTGACACCTCTAGCAAAACAGGTGAGTGTACGAAACATTGTCAACGTTAACATGGTTTCTTCTAGAAAAATTTAGCATGAGGGAGCAGATCACAAGCATGGCGAGGGAGCAAAGCGCGATTTTTTATGAGAATAACACAGTTTGTAATGCTACATTGTAGTCTTGTTTTTTTGTGTCTTAACTGGAAAAAGATCATTTTGAGAAAGACCAAATGGTATATGTGTATGTAGCCTCTTAGGGTTCAATCTGAAAATTGATATGAGGGAGCTGGCTGGTTATATTACATGAGGGAGTAGCGCCCTTATTCCCCTGTTTAGAAAAAAACCCTGGTTAAGAAAAAATCCATTTACGATTCCAGCAACTACCAACAGGAACATTTGCTGTAGTTTATTCCTCAACTGCAGCCAAATGATGTCGAACTGTACCACCTAATGTTAGTTGGAGCCTGCATCAGAGGAAAGGTACTTAGCCAGAGGAAAGCTTTTAGCCTTATCAGACTGTATAATGTACTTAACGTCTGGGTTGAGTGAGATTGTGCTCAACATGCTGTATGTTAGTGTACATGTAGGTCATGTAGCATATTGATAGTACTGTGAATCTTGGTTTTAGTTTTACAGTGACTCCGGAGGATCCTCTACAAATTTGTGACACTGCAAATATGTCTTCTTTGTATGACTCACTGAACTTAGTAGATTCTGAATTGTTTCAACCACAAATTTAAAACACCATGAAAACCTAAGGTGTCATCTCCCTTCTATAGTGAAATATAAGACCACCATGAAAAGTTCACCTCTTACACTAGTACTGTAGTGTATGTAGTTAAAGATGGGGGAAAATCTGAGCAAGGACATACATTGTATGGTGACTGTCAACAATAAGAATTAATGTAAAATGCTGCTCCTTCCTTCTCCATGACTTATAATGTAGTTACAAGTATATTAATTGTGCAAGCCATCCCCAAAATATGTATAAGTCTGCATAAGATCCTGTGTTCTAAAAATCTACTAGTAAATCTAACTTTCAGTTGCCCCAGGAAAAAAATGTATCATTGCATGCCGTCTTGTCCTCCAAATTTATTTTACCGTGAGGGCTCAAAATACCACCTTCATATTTCGCAGGTAATAAGTGCAGGTGGAATTGTAGCTGTGCAGGTATTTTCTCATGTCTACATCTACCTGCACCTAACCTGCACTGTCTATGAACTGGGTTTATATAAACAATATAGATATACAAAAATGTAATTCTGTGTGGATATTCATTTGCTGCATCCACTGTTATGACATATGAATTGTCAAGAAATAATGGCAATGGTTTCTCAACAGTTTGTGGTGTGATCTATACTTCTTAAATTCTGAATGGTGCAGCTAAATTGCTGGTGATTTTCAAATGTTACCTGCACCAGTGAATGGACAATGCACTGTATGTCAAAACGTATTTTGAGCCCTGTCTTGTAATGCATGACATTGCTGTGTCATGCCTAAATACATACATTCCTGTATTACTGATACATGTACTTATAATAGAGATTACGCAAAGTGGCCCACGGGGACTGCCATTTCCCCAGACAAATATCATATTTATGAATCTATGACATGACTGTTATTTAAAGGCTATGGATGTACAGAGGTCCCAGAATTAATACCCGTTATTATCTTATATATGCCAGAATTGGATATCACATGCATATTTTTATCAATTCTCTTCAACATGATTGTCTGAAATCTATCAATAATTACTCTTTTCATGTGGAAATAATTTCTAGTAAGTGAATTACAATTATGTGAGAGCATGGGAGCAGAAAATTAAAGCACAATTTGAATGGCAAAAGCTACTTTTATACAACTGCAGGGCTCGAAATTCATTTTTTGGAATAGGTACACTGGTGCACCCAACCTAAGAAATTGAGTGCACAAAAATATTTTAGGTGCACCAGATAAGATAAAATAAGTAGAATGTCACTCAGCAAAACTATAATTATGTTTCATTTCAAGAAAAGTACTTACTGTCTAATAATAACAATGATTGTATTTTTTTCTGACACTTAGATGTTAAGAATATGCTGTAACTACTATACATTTAACATCTTTTACATACATGTACATTAAGCCTAAGAATATTTGGGTGCACTAAGGTGCACATGCACCCAGTATTTCGAGCCCTGGTTAGAGGCATTCTATAAAAAATTACACTATTTTTTATAATATCATACAAGATATTGACATGTGCATTTTATGGTACCTAAATTCTATCTAAGCTATAGCTACTTGTATTTTGTGTCAAATACTAATTGTATTCCCCTTCTTAATGTATTTCCCCAAAAATAATACCATATACTATATTTTACACCTAATTGTACGTATATGTAAGGTGTTACTAATAGGTTAAGATGGTAGGGATCATTGACCTTAAGGTTGATTCTGTCAGAAGTTGACTGATTACCTGTCTGAAGATGTACCTAGCATGTTGCTTGCGTGTGGTGACATGCACTGGTCTCTCATGGCTTAAGTTAAAGGTCACTAAATGCATTATTGACGATGGCTCAAATATAGACATGGGCACGTACAAATGATCGGTCACTTACTATATTAGCAAAAGGGCTAGCTCGTATTGAGATTCTAATTATAGATCAGGTGGACTTCCTTAATTCCTGTGTCATTGAACTTTTATTTTCTTATCATTCATAATTTGAGGTAATGGATTGATATAGTGTGACGTCTGTATCCTCATTCAAATTTGATCTTTATTAAGATTCTATAATAGATGTGTATAAAAATTATGTTATAACATAATTTAGATAGTAATTACTATCTAAAAATAAAGTATGTCGATGAAGGTTATTTAGACATCCAGGTAATAAGAATGCCAAAAAAACAGTTACTCAAGCAACTGGATATGATTTGGGGATTTCTTTTAGTAATAGAATAGTTCACATTAACTTCATGTTGAATCATAACTTCTATTAACTATGCTGAATTTGCATTGTGATCCCAGACTATGATACAATTTGTACATGTACATAGCAATTTTGACACTGTTACAGTTGTACAAGACTTAGTATTTGGACAATTTTCATAAGATTATAACTTATATATAAGAACACTACCTGACTTTTTTGCCGTAATACTCATTTTATTGTGTGAAGTTTTGCATGGGAATGGTTCCACAACCCTGTGTAGTGCACAACGTATGTATATCGATTTCTTTCAGTATTTGAAATGGCAGGGAAATTCAAACGAGTATATAATAAACCCCCACAAAGCTCTGTTAGCGTCAGTATATACAATATGCCCTGTCCAGGGAGATTTGTGTGAATGCGAACGTGGTAAATATTTCACAGCGTTCCGCGTACCGAAATCAAAGCCCCGAAGCTCGGTGACCTTTCCCGTCCATGCATTATGGATGGAGAGAGCGAAAGTTGATCCCGAGAGAACGCTATAAAACGTGCGGTAAGATCACTGACTTGCTTATGATTGAACGCTGGGAGCATTGACTGGATTATGCGCAGTTGATTACTCCGAGCGCGAGAGGCGAGGCTTGTCAGTCGCACGATCTCGAAGTCGGCGGAAATAGGCGCGGGAGAGCACCCAATCAAGATGCCGGTAAGTCCAAAGGAATTTCTAGGGAAATCATTTTTCTCTCTTAGTGTCAGGCGCAACTTACGTCAAACATCTGAGTCATGCCGTGATCAAAGGGAAATAGGAAATTAGACGCCGGCATGTTGTTATTTCCGCAGAACAATTCGATTTCCTTAATCAAATTCTAATGTTTTGATGAAGTAGAGGAAACAAAAACTGTTCACAATTTGAAGCAGCAGACTATGTTTTTAGGGACAGGAACAGTTAGTTTTATTCTATGAGAATATCTTAACACACTTAGTCGTAACATCTACAATTAGACGCTGGCATGTTGTTATTTCCGCAGAACAATTCAATTTTCTTAATCAGATTCTAGTGTTTTGATGAAATAGAGAAATGAAAACTGTTCACATTTGAAGCCTGCAGTTACTGTATGTTTTAGGGATAGAAAAAATTTCATTATTTCTGCAGAACAATTCAATTTCCTTATAATAATAAAATTCTAATGTTTTGATGAACTGTAAGAAATGAAAACTGTTCATGATCACTATTGAAGCAGCAGACTATTTTTTTTAGGAACAGGAACAGTTAGTTTTATTCTTCGAGAATATCTAAACACACTAGTCGTAACAGTCTCTACAATTAGACGCTGGCATGTTGTTATTTCCGCAGAACAATTTAATGTTTTGATTAACTTAAGAGGAAAGGAAAACTGTTCACAGTTAAAGTCTTCAGTATGTTTTTAGGGATAGGAAAAATTTCATTCTGTGAAAATATTCTTAACACACTAGTAAATACAGTTTCTACCCCAAGGTAAGAAATACCACCTGCATATTATGCAGGTTAGATAGTGCAGGTAAAATTAGAGCTGCAGGTAGTTCAATCTGATGTCTACCTGCACCTACATTGTAATTATTAGCCTGCAGTGGTTCATGAATTGGGTTCATACATAAAAGTATGGGAATTTTTTTAATCTGCTGCATTAAAAAACTGTTACCACCTACATGTACATGTACATGCATGATGTATAAATGGCAATGGTTTCTGAACAGTTTTCATGTAGCATGATCCATGCTTTCTAAATTCTGATTGATGCAGGTAAAACTAAGTCTGGTACAGGTATACATGTATTTCAATGTCTGGTATGTAGAAAAAAGGATTTTGAGCCCTACTGAACCCAGTGATGATGAATAGATCAAAGGTTTCAACTGAAAGGTTTTCAGTCATACAAGACTATATCACAGTAAATGATAAGAATTATTGGTTTCTGATACAGCTTTTTCCATGACCTTTGTCATATGCAGCACTTTGTTAGAGTATTTAGATTATACTACTGAATATAACAAAGTTACGACCTTGACTCTGCTGTTCTGAGACTACAATATGAAAGTGCTCTCTGGCTAACCTTGTTACTGAGAATACCCACATATACTATAGTATATAACATGTAACATTTTGCTACTCTCCAAGCAGATCTAGAGGTTTAGGCTTTAGCTGAAGTATTTTTTATGTGTTTTCTTGCATTTTATCATGCTTCTATAGCACTACATGTAAGTCTAAGTATCTTTTTTTTTTTACAATTTTGGATTTATTACTGCACTGCCAGTTTGAAACTGTCTTAAACCTTGCAGCCAGTACTGACAGATAATAAAATTGCTTGAAGATAAATCTTTTGTTTCATATTAGCAAAGATACAAAAATAGTCCAAGCCAATTTTTGTAACTCTAACTTGACATTTGGTTATAACCAAAGAGGTTCAATTTTTTAACCTCTTTGTTATGACTGACAACATCACATTTTAGAAGAAAAAGGCATTTTGAATTCCACTCTACAGGGCTGGAAATTCTTTTTTGGAATAGGTGCACTGGTGCACCCAACCTAAAATACGGTGCACCGTATAAAACAAAACCTAATTACTAGACAAGTACAGATCTTACTGCTACTCTTCTGAGCTTGAAACTGAAATGGGAGCTAATTTCAAAATCTTAAATAAGGCAGTGTTCGTTATTATAGCAGTCTGCAATCTGCAGATAGATTTTCAAGATTGCAGAAGAAAAATTTATACAATCTGCAATTTTGCAGCAGGAAAAATTGGCACTTGGGATTTGGCGCTCTTGGCCCCAAGGACAGACAACACTTAAGCTCCTGTTCCAAAACAACAGGAGCTTCTTCACTAATTTGCATCAACCTTGTCTTGACTTGTCTATCTTTTGTTTCTTTTTGGACTTCCAAAAATTTGTCTTCACTAATTTGCATATCAATCAATAGTTCATGCTTATAAACCTGCAAGATTGTAGTATGGAGGCTTGTGTATTTGCAGAAAGTATTTCCAAATTGCAGAACAAAATTTTGACTCTTCTGCAATATTGCAGAGCGCTGAAAAAAAGTATTTCGACCACTGTAAGGACTACAACAAAAATTTTATTATTTTTCTGACTTATGCCAAGAATATCCTGTGTAGTATTTTTCATATAATATGTACAAAATACCTAACAGAAATATTTGGGTGCACCTACAGAAAATAATTGGGTGCACAGCTCCAATTTTGGGTGCACTAAGGTGCACATGCACCCAGTGTTTCGAACCCTGCTCTATAACTTGACATTTGGTTATGTGACAACATTGCATTTCAGTAGAAAAGGGCATTTTGAATTCCAAGCATTGCAGCTGACCTTTAGTTGATGGCTATATAAAGCATGTGCCTGAGGTTTATCATGTCATACCCAGTTGTATTCTCCTACCAGATGTAAGGATTAGGGCGTAATGCAATTTCAGGGCGGCAAAACATAAAATATTCTGGACGAGGAAATCTTACTGCCATTTCTTAGCACATTTTATCATGATTTCATACGTCAAGCATTTGAAAATATGAGCCCAACAACAAGATGTTAGTGAGTTACAAGTCCCTTTATTTTTTGGTACCACCAATTTTAAACTAGAATTAGCTTAAATCAACCGTTTTTGGTCTGTGACATTGCATTTTTGAATCACAGATGTCTCTATAGGATAAGGTGATTTAATTTGCTGTCAATTAAGAAAAAATAACCAGAAAATCATCTTCAAGTTTCAAAATCCAGTTATGTGACTACTTTTTGGCAGTCACTTCAAGGCTTTAACAGATAAATTTTCCCTACTGAAAATACATTTGGAAACTGTCTATAGACATAGTGACAACCTGTCCACGTAGACCAGATTTTATCAGTCCCCTGACTGTTCTTTGCCAGTTTTGATTGTATTATTACGGTAACCATGGTTTTCTAGAATTCTTGTACAAATTGCCATATATTGTATCATTTTACAATATCTGAGTAATTAAAAGTTCACCTTCTTGTACAACAGTTATCACATTTTCCTAGCATTCATATTTCTCAATATTCCCTCCTAATATCTGCTCACAAATAGCACCAATCAGCTATATTGTAATTATGAGTTCATTCAGAAGAACATTATAAATTTGCTAATGATGTCCAAACAAAACATTCAATTTGTGATCATATACTTGAGGAGCTACAGTTAGTACAATAAGGTTATAGGCTTTGAAAGCCATGTTAGGCCACACCAATTATTACTGTCTTGGTTAACGGATTCGCCCGCTTCATTTTTTTCTGATTTGCAAAAAAAAATCAGAATCAACTGCAAAATGCTCATATTTTGCCCTGAACAGTTGAAAACAGTACTTTTCTTCTTACATGTGTAGTTGCTAGTTATTCTATCTTTCAATGCAATGGTATCATTAAAAGTTCAAAATTCATTGTTTAAATTTTGAACCAGCATGGTGTGTTGACTTCATGGCTCCTATCGTACGATTTTTGGGCCATATGGGATACCTAGGGCTGTTTTTATTTATATTTTTTCTCGCCCTCCCGCTCCATTATTTTTCTAGAAAAATCTGTTAACCAAGAAATTAAATTAAATTGGTGTGGCCTTAGGATGTTGTTGTATTGTTACCTAGCAACAGTGTTCTTGTTTAACAGTAGCTGTCCCAGGGGACATCATAATTATCTCACTGACCCAACCTGCCTATCAAGCTGTGGCCGGGCCAATTTAATTAACTGGACCTCATCATTCATCAGTCCATATAGACTGCCTTGTCTCCATCAGACCAATTTGCAATGGAGGGCCTTAGCTTCCTGTGTAATGTAATATCCTTATTTGCAAAATCTTGCCCCAAAGCTAATTGCTTTCACAGAGTCAAAGATATGATCATGGTGAAATACTGTAATAGGGAACAGACAATACTTCATACTTATACACATGTACTACTCCGAATGTCCTCGACCTAAGACAAACAAGGCTGAATATATCAAAATTTAGCCAAATAGATAGAATGGTTTTCCTGGGGAGTTTGGTTTCATGTGATACAAAATGACATCTACAGGGAGCGTAACTAATAAGCAAGAGATCTTTCAGTGTAGTTAGCACTGTCAATCTGTATCACAGATCACTTTGTGGAACCCATGGGGGACCAACTATTTGCCGATTTTACGCCACAGATGAGCTTATACTTAGTGTAAATTGATTCAGGTACAGAACTTATAGTTAGGTACATGTATTTAGACCTTCAATTTTCATGGTACATTATTGGTACTGTGTACTGGTACACAGCCCTACTCTACATGTAAGAATTAGGAGAGTACGAAACAGGTAAAAAAACCCTGGTCCCGGGCCAGGGATCGAACCCACGACCAAACCCGAGCACCAGCTTCAAATCCAATGCTCCTACCGATTCGGCTAAAAGGTCTAGACCCATCGGCCGGGTCAGTTGGTAGCGCCTATAAACCTCCCATTTATACAATATTAACCTAATTGTACCAGAGGATATCCACATGATAATCAAATTTTCAAAACAATATCTATAAATTGGATGGAGACAGCATACCAATATATTGTAGTCTCCATCAGACTAATAATACTGGCTGAAAAATGGTCATAGCCAAATAGGGAGAATAAATATTACATGAAATATGCCAGGGGAGTTTGGTTGCCATAGTGTTTCATTTGTCTAGTAGGCACAGTTACAATGTAACAAGAGGAAATGTTTAAATGACCACAGGCTCACCCCATGGCCAATTACTGACCCTAGTTTTTCCAAATTCTACTATTAGGATAATCCATAATCCCGTAGGAAGGCCTAGTGGAGCCTTAACTACGAAAGTCTGTAATCAAGGTCAAAAGAGTATTTATTATTACATGTATGCGAGGAAACAGCCAAACACAGATTTGTAACCATTAAATTATAGAATTGAAATACATGACAGTATGTATAATAACTAGTTAGGTGCTAAACTATTTGTATAACATCATTGCTTGGTGTTATCAACAGTATACTGGTTACATTAAAGAAATAGAAGTAAAGTGACATAATGATAAAGGTTAAAAAAATATACATGTATCAGTTTATCATTACAGTAAATGTAGCTTGGTAGTACTTAAGACTGTACAAATAATTATGAATATACTTCAAGTAGGTTTATAACCTTCTATTAGTAAGAGTTGTATACTATATAGCTTTGAGTAGCATATCAATCTGCTAAAGAAACAAAAAATTGTCTCTTTTTTAGATGATACATTTTGCTGTCATCATGATTTTTTATTTGGAGAAACCAGCAAACAGTCGAGTCGTTTAGCTCTGCCCATTTGTGCTGTGTATTTGCACTAATGAGGCTAATAAGCTGATATACCGGCACTGTCAGGTTATTGTGGTGTAAGACTACACCTTGAAGCGGCTGGATTATCACAAATATATATTACAAAATGGCGTATCATTCATATAGTCGCATATGGCTCAACATTTAAGGTATGTACAGGTCTGTGTTATCCTATAAAGCACAATGGTTGTAATCACAGAAATTTGAGCGTCTGCATGGGGGGCAGTGATTACGAATTACGCAAAATTTCCGCCGCCAATTACGATTTACGTTAAAGTCTCAGAGTTGATTACGACTTAACGCTTTGCGGCTAATGTACTGATTACGAATTACGTTGATTTTTGGGGAGGCTGCCTACGGATTACGAAGACTTAAAAGGTCTGATTACGCCTTATGAAAAAGGGCATGCAGACCCCCAAATTTCAGTGCAGTTAGAATTACTACATATATGTAAAACCGCTGTATATGTTTTTACCTGCAGACAACTTCTGACAACCATAATCATTATCTACATATTTCTAAGATTGCTTGCTGTTGGTTTATTGTGTCATTGGATAATTTGTGATGCGCTGATTTAATCTGCAGTGTCCAGTTACTGGTTGTGTTACCTACATGTGTACTGTGGTCACCATTGGCAACCATATAAACATAATGTACAAACGTATGTCTCGGTTGGGTTAAGGCAGCCTATGGCATACTATGAGTAGTATTTCATACATATGTATGTAACTTTTGATAGCTTGGTCGCACCACAACTAAACTTCACACAGTTCTAGTAGTACTTGAAACACATTGAATAAAGGTTATTTTGTTTTTACTACTTCTGGATTTTTGGGTTAAAAATCAACATTTTTGTTAAAAAAAAGCTGTTTACTTTATGGCTTTACGCGCAAGCGGTAACAACACCTTTCATCATGATATTTTACAAGTAAAAAGCCAACCCCCTATTTATTATTTTTGTCCGAGGCTATTTTGTTTTAAATGACAGTTACATTGTTTTTTTGGGCCAAAAACGACAGAAACAGCTATTTTTCTGTCATTTTTCGTTAAAAATCGCCACAGTTTAAAAATATCGACTTATATGCAAAATAGCCTCGGACAATTTTGATAAAAAAGTTATAATACGTAAACATGGATTACTCTTAAGATCAATTATGCTGTTTTCAGCTGCGCGTAAAGCCGTTTAGGTCATACTCCGTGAATAAAATGCGTAACTACGCGGGTTTACAGGGGAAACATACAAATGACCGCGGGTAACCCCGAAAATCGAACATGCGTTCTATTCGAATGACGTCATATCGAACATGGTGGAACATGATTCGGGTTCGAAACATGTATGTGGCAATCGTGCAGGCACACCCCCGAACTCGAACATGAATATCAGCCTAGGCCGCCTTAACCCAACTGAGGTGTAAAGCTTCGTAAACCCTCATTTGAAAAACTGTTTTCAATATCAATGTAGTCACAGCACTCAACATGGTTTTACATGTATGTCAAAACAACATTGAGAAATTGATAGAAAAAAAATTCAAACTGGCTAGAAAAACACAGGTCTCCATGAACAAACAGTTGCTTAGACACTAATCTTTTCTTCTGCATACACTGTACAGTGGTCTATGACTGACAATTAGACTCTTCAAACAGAGAATTGGGACAATTCTTACAAGTGTTGGTGGATGAAAATAGAGTTGCTATTATTATTAATATTATAGCTCACACTTGGATCCTATTTTCTATGATTGAATCAAGCAAGCAAATAGTAAAAAAAAAGCAGATGACTTCAAAAGGGTGCTACATTAAGTTACTTATGTTTGAGATGATAATATTTGTTTTTTGAATGAAAGCTCATCTGTGTTGATAGAATCCATGGTAACAGTAACTTGTATATAAAGTTCAAGCTTTGTTTCAACACAAGAATTTGTGAAGTACATGTAAAGAATAGTGAGTGCATCACACATATGACAAAGGTTTACGAAATTTATGGCGAGTTCCTTTAATTTATTGTTTTGGTACAAAGCTTGAACCTTGCAACAATATTCTTTTCATTTCTAATTGTCCATTTTATGATGACATCAGAATATTTACCACGATGTCCAAAATGCTCCCATACTTCCACACTACTCCCTACCACGAAAAAACAACATTACTACTAAAATCAAAGAACCCATATATTATAGAAGAAGTTGGTAAATTCATCTTCCATTGCCTAAAAAGAAGAAGTCAAACCAAGCAAAACTAGTACCATGTATGTTGTACAAAGTATAGTGTTAGACATAGTCCCACATAACATTGTATTTTCTTTCTTCATACTGTATCATGTTGTTTGTAACTGCAATTAGCCCTCTGGCATGTATTTGCAATGAATAAACTACATCTATTTGTACACTACAATATTTGTTTTTGTTTGTTTGTTCAGACGTCACGGCAGAAGTCGGGTAAGAAGATCAGCGTGCTGTGGCTGAGGTGGAAGAGACGGGGCATGGTGGAGATTATGTCTGGTCACAGACGCTGGACTCTCACCAACTGTGTCAGGATCGGACTGGAGAAGGCCCTAGCTGACAGGACACACGTCAAACCAATAGAGGTGACTATTGTGTATTTACAGTCAAATCTGCCCCAGGCGACCACCCAGGGGACTAGGGCTGCGTTCCTTTTCGTAACATCAGGTACAGGTACAGGTACAGAGGTTTAGGTCCAGGTCCGGACATGTACCTGTACCTGAAAATTCACGCGCGTCACATGTTCTACTGAAATTCTTCAATAATGCCAGAAACATGAATAAAGTGTTGACAATTTGTCCTGTATCTTTCAAAGAACATCAAATATAACCATGGAAGATATCTGGAAAAATATTGTTGCGAAATGAGAGAGACGAAAACTAACTAAGGTAAATCTCTTTATTTTAACGCTGGATGTTCATTTTCCTGGCAGGCCTCCTTGTGTGTAGTGATCAAGTATGAATTTTTGTTCCGGTCCAAAAAAGCAGTCCACTGACGTTTCTGTATTTCTGGACCGGACTGACACTATTTTTCCGGTCCGTACCGGTCCAAGTAGCCCTACAGGGGACCAAAGAAATTTAAAAGTGGCCACCTTGGACAGATGGTCTCCTTGAAGAGGGTCGCCTCATAACATGACTAAGACATGAATGGTTTCCAAGTCGATTTTTCATGTCAAATACTGTAAGATCTTAAAAGATCTGACTGTCAAACACTGCAAGATCTTTGGTGAATGCATGTGGGGAGGGCAGCACATGGCACAATTTTAACATCAAAGGAAACATGGCCAAAGTGACCAGTTTTTGACATGCGCTTTATACCCGATAGGCACAATCAAAAACCACCTGTTAATTCTTACAACTGTGACAAAGAAAATTTTTGCTGTAAATTGATGTTTATTGGACATACATTCTCACTGGTACGTATTAGTTATTGAATGATTGATTTGTTAATCATTATTTATAAATTTGCTACAGGAGCTGACAAAAGATGACTACGAGGACATCAGGTGCAAGAGACACACTGAGACAATAGACAAGAAGTCACAGGTAAGACAATCACAGGTGTTGAGTATGGATGGAAACACGTGTTACCATTGGAGACAAGGGAATCTCGACCTAGTGAGTGAGTGAGTGAGTGAGTGAGTGAGTGAGTGAGTGAGTGAGTGATGAGTGAGTGAGTGAGTTAGTGTGTGAGTGAGTGAGTGAGTGAATGAGAGTGAGAGTGAGTGAGTGAGTTAGTGTGTGAGTGAGTGAGTGAGTGAGTGAGTGTGAGTGAGTGAGTGAGTTAGAGTGTGTAAGTGAATGAGTGAGTGAGTGAGTGAGTTACCATTTCTAGTACTAGTAGGGATGTTTTTGCATGGTGTTTTTTTAGCTCCGCAACAATGTCAACATGATGTGTGCTACGAAGACAGATTTTCCACTGCCTGATCCAATTATTGATATAATTTAGGTTTCTTGCAGATATCAACATTGTGAAAATTTTCCTAACATGCAACAACCTAAAAATGAAAACATTCAAAGTTACAAACCTGTTTTGAACTGTAACAACTCTCTCACTTGAAAACTAGAAAGCTATACATGATTGTTAGCTCCGTGTATGTACGCAGGTTTTATATTTTCAATGTGTTTGTTTGCTTGCGTATTTGTAGTCAGCATAAATACAGTAGAGTCAGAGAAAGTAAGGGAAAAAAATTGGTGTATCTACAGACTGACAGGAAGGTCAAATTGGAGTTCAAAATGGTCTCCCTTGAGGCTGGGAGGAAGGGACAGTGGAGTCATGTAGTCAGCGAGAACTTCACAATTTACAAGAAAACAAGAAAATAATGCACAACAACTCGAAATACTAAAATCTTTGATTTCTTGTTTTGTTTTGCAGCAGTCTTTTGAGTTTGCCACGTACGCAGGGGAGGTTTTCGCCACTCTCCGTAACATCATCAACATCTCCGAGGATGAATATCTCAACTCCGTCACACCCATGGCCAACAGGCGATACCTGGAGTTCATCAGCAACTCCAAAAGTGGCCAGGACTTCTTTCTTACGTGAGTTAAAGATGAGTGTCATGTACTTTGAAGGCCTTATTCATTATGTTCATGTGAATCAAATCTTTGCAAAGGAAAAGCTTCAAGCTTAACTTTATAACTACTAAAAGATCATTAATTTGCATAGAAATGCATTGAATTTGATTATAGCTTCAGGAACTTACTTACAGTTCCTGTAGTAATTATATTAATAGTATTACATCTAACAGTATGATATTATGGCCAGAGTTACAATGTAGAGCACATGTAAAATCATCTATCAACTTAATAATCAAGCAATACCTCAGGTTGTTCTTTAATTTGTTGCTATCTAACAATTTGATTTTCTGGGTTGATTTTCAGGCCTGATAAGAGATTTATGATCAAGACTCAGACAAAAAAGGAGACTTATTTCTTCCTTGAACATCTCAGGTGGGAATGTTATCTTACTATCATGAGATCTTTAAAAAAAGGCATTAAAAAAGGCTTTTAAAAAGTCTGTAGTATGGCACTGTTGATACTTTGGTGCTAGGGGGGAGGGGGGTATATTTTGGTTTTGTAATGGACATATTATATTCATGTTAATTTTATGTCCTAAAGAAGTAAATGTGAAGGAATTGGTTAACTTTCATGTCGTTCTAGGTGTGATTAGTGTGTGATCAGGTGTGATCAGTTCTGTCATAGCCTGCTTGAAAAAAGCTTCTATCAAACTTCTGTCAAATTTGACAACACATTTACAATCATCATAATATATTTTTGTTCAATTCATCTTACAGGACATACGTAGAACATTTCAAAAAGTACCCCCACACCCTGATGGTCAAATTCCTGGGCCTGCACAACATCAAACTCAAGGGCAAGAAAAGGGTGAGTACAAAAACTTCATACTGATCATGTAATACCATCATATAATACAGTACTTATTCTAGCCATCATCTGTCATTCTGTCATTTTTAGCAATCTGTGCTGATCCAACTATATAGTTTAATTTACAAACTAAGGCCACACCAATTTAATTTGTTGGTTCTCGGATTCGCCTCTTCGTTTTTTTCTGATTTGCAAAAAAAAAAAAAATATGATTCTGGTTCTGAATCAACTGAAAAATGCTCATGTTTTGCCCCCAACAGTTGAGGATAGTCCTTTTCTTCCTAGTTGTTACAGTTTTCCCATCTATCATTGCAGTGGTTTGATTAAAAGTTCAAAATTCAATGTTTAGATTTTAACCCAGCCTTTTGTGTTGACTTCATGGCTCATTTCGTAGCATTTAAGCCTATAATAGGATGCCTAAACCTGTTTTTATTTTTATTTTTTTTCGCCCTGTCGCTTCATATTTTTCTGAAAAAATCCGAGAACCAACAAATTAAATTGGTGTGGCCTAAGTAAAACTTGCATGAGTTGACACTTCTATTTTCAATGTCACTGACTGTTGGAAAACTGATTGTGTCTCATTTCATCACTCAGGTGTCAGGTCATGTAGCAAGAAAACGTTGATCAGCTAGAAAAATGTATGTCCTTTGCAGGGGTCCACCCCGAAAAAAAGCTAGGGTCAGCATTTTTTTCTAGGGTCGGTGGGAAAACAGGAAACTTTTTTTCCTAGGCCTAGATAAATGTTACTGGAGTTTAGTAGTATGGAAGGTCATCAGTTCTAGCTATGTGGCAAATAATATGTAACCAGGCAGACACAATGTAAATGTTAATGGAGGTTAGCAGTATGAAAGGTCATCGGTAAGTCCTAGTTTATTCCCAAGTGATATTTCTTCAGATCTTGTCACGGAAACTCCCCATTAGTTTTGAAGGTCAATGCTAAGAGCTTTTTTCCCTGGTGAATGGAATAAATTTAGTACATGGAGAAAAACTAAGGCCGTTGCCAAGTGTTTTAAAATGCTAAATATTCCCCTGTGAGTGATAAAGGTGAGTCTGAGTGTGTCGTGGCGTACGTCACTGGATGTCGTCACTGATGTCGTGAGGAATTTCAGAATGTCGTCACAGGAAAAATTAGGTCTCATGGGAGATCACATTAGCTCATCAGCTGGTGCTTTATTCCTGAGAGTGCGGTACTGACATTTGGCCAAAGTGCACACAGTATCGTTGCAGGATTCGTGATCATGGTTCCGTAAATTTCAGAATGTTGTGAGTTTAAAAATTAGGCCTCATCTATTAGAAAATTAGTTTTAGCTCATCAGCAAGTGCTTTACTCCCCAGAGTGAGCTATCAACCTTGACATTACAGTCACTGTGACAAAGAGGAACATGTACATTTGGCATGTTGAGCCCTGACTTAGGCCTAGGAAAAAAATGTTGTGTTTCCTGTTTCAGTCCTGAAAAAATTATGGTTGGTAGATAGGGATTATCTTTTTTTTCTTCTTTTTTTTGTTGTCATCTTATTACATTTTGGCAATTTCTAGTGATGCAATTTATATGATACAGTAAATGTTTGACAAAGTAAAACTTGCATGAGGATACTATGTTAATGTTGGAAAACCGACTGTGCAACATTTCATCACTTAGATGTCAGATCATGCATGGAGCTAGAAATGTCCCTTGCAGGGGTCCACCTAAAAAAGTCAAGGGTCAGCATTTTTTTCTAGGGTCGGTCGGGAAACATGAAACACAACATTTTTTTTCTAGGGCTGACACAATGTCGTCACTAGATATGTGATGTTGTCACTTATGTCGTGACAAATTTCTGAATGTCGTCAGTCTAAAAATTAGGCCTCCCAGGAGATCCCCCAAGGTGCTTTATTCATAAAAGAGAGGTCATTGACATTATGCTGGCTTGTTGAGTCCTGACTTACAAAGTGTCGTCACTAGATATGTGATGTCGTCACTGATGTCGTGACAAATTTCCGACTGTCGTCAGTCTAAATATTTAGGTCTCGTAGGAGATCACAATAGGTCATCAGCAGGTGCTTTATTCCCCTGTGAGTGATAAAGGTGAATCTGAGTGTGTCATGGCTTGTGTCACTTAGGTATGAGATGTCATCACTGATGTCGTGACAAATTTCCGAATGTCGTCAGTCTAAATATTTAGGTCTCATAGGAGATCATAATAGGTCATCAGTAGATGCTTTATTCCCTTTTGAGTGATAAAAGGTGAATCTGAGTGTGTCATGGCTCATGTCACTATGAGATGTCGTCAGTCTAAATATTTAGGTCTCATACATGTAGGAGATCACAATTATAGGTCATCAGCAGGTTATACACTGTACTTAAAGTTTATTCCCCAGTGTGAGTGAAGGATGAATCTGAGTGTGTGATGGTGTACATCACTTAGGATGTCGTCACCAATGTCGTGACAAATTTCAGAATGTCATTACTCTAAAAAAAGGTCTCGTGGGAGATCACTCGAGGTCATTAGCATTAGTGCTTTATTCCCAACAGTAGCACGTCGGCAGAACGTACTGCGCCTCCGTGAAACCCTGATTTTTCATGGTTTTTTGGTCAACGTTGCTTCAAAATTTTGCATATTGCAGATGATATCTCTTCCAACATTTTGAAACTACTGACTGGATATTATTAACCTTATACAATGCATATAATGCAAATATGACATTATACAATGTATGAGACATTCTGCCAAAGTGCTACGCACAATACATTACGGGGTTTGCGCAAGTGCAGTACATTCTGCCGATGTGCTTCCAAAAGTGAGCTATTGACATTTGGCTGGACAGTACGAGTTATGACTAATATCACATTCAATGTCATCACATTTCAGAATTTCAGAATGTCAGCTCTCTAAAAAATTTGGTCTCACAGGGATTGTATGGAGATCACACAGTCAATAGAATTGGAGGAGGGGCGTGGGATTCATCAATCAGAGTCACAATATTCCCTTTGTCAGAATGCATCTTAATGAAACCAACAAAGGTGTACACTGATACTATGCTGCTGCAATATTAATCCTTATTCAAGGGTATTTGGTAATTTCCAGTCTGTCATGACATCACTACACTAACTGTACATTTGTCAAAGTCATGTGTGAAAGATGACAGAAAATAGTTTTGTTTTAATCAAACCCAATAGGCAAGGATTTCTAGCTTCATCTTTTGGAGATTTTGGGGTTACTAGAGAGAGAGAGAGAGAGAGAGAATGGTTTATTCAACAACAAAAACCCTTGCAGCAAAAATGCTGAATTGCGGTTTTTTTCCACTAAAATCGTGTGCTTATCAGCATAAAGCAATTTTGCAAATCAGAAATAACAAAGACATAAATCACATATAAAATTACATAAAAACAATATCATCACGACTTACAGTTCTACTACTTTAACTGTCATTCAGCAGACGGACACAATTGGGTAGTGTACTGTTTAACATGCGCTGTGTTCGGCACTTAAACTGTGTCAGTTTCGTGCTGTTCCTTAGTGTTCTATTATGTACATCCCCCCTTTGTGCTGGCAACCAATTACGGTATTTCTCACTGCTTGTGAGAGAACGAGCAAACCTCAGGCACAGTTCATCACGTCTGGTATCTAATCTACTAAGTCCAGTTATAGCTATAGCTAGAACGTGCAAGTCTAAAGTGGTCCTTTTCTTTGCAGCTGTACTTCATTGTCATGCAGAGCATCTTCTACCCAGATGAGAGAATACGTGAACGGTAGGAACAAGTTTTTGTACAAAATGTAATTATTCTGTATTTTGTGCAAGCCCTGGACATGAGAAAAATTGTGTGGCCCAAGGGCCAAGTAACAGAGATGTGCACAACCCTGTTAGGTATTGATACATATTTTATGTACTACGTATTGATACGTACTGTTACGTATTGATAAGCAAGTTGGCTTTATGGAGATTATATTCTGTTGTGAATTATATGAATGTCTATAACACTGTCACGGTGACAGTACTGTATTTCCCAAGATACCATATAATACTTTTCATATCATAAATGTTTGCCTACATGAAGTTAATATGAAAAATTTAGATCCTTTAATACAAAATGACATGTTATGATCTGTCATCCTCTTCCCTTCAGGTATGACATCAAAGCCTGCCAGGCAAGCAGATATGTTCTGGTAATTATCTACCCTGCATTTTCACACTACTGTGATTCTCTTTATATTTGCGATAGCATGTCTTAGTACTGAATTGGCGTAACTTTCACTGTCCTTGGTACTGAATGGGCCTCTTCCTGTCCTTAGTACTGAATGGGCCTCTTCCTGTCCTTGGTACCGAATGGGCCTCACTATCCCTATCCTTGGTACTGAATGGGTCTCTTCCTGTCCTTGGTACTGTGTGGGTCTCTTCCTGTCCTTGGTACTGAAATGGCCTCACTATCCTTGTCCTTGGTACTGAATGGGTCTCTTCCTGTCCTTGGTACTGAATGGGAATCTTCCTGTCCTTGGTACTGAATTGGCCTCACTATCCTTGTCCTTGGTACTGAATTGTCCTCACTATCCTTGTCCTTGGTACTGAATGGGAATCTTCCTGTCCTTGGTACTGAATGGGCCTCTTCCTGTCCTTGGTACTGAATGGGCCTCACTATCCCTATCCTTGGTACTGAATGGGCCTCTTCCTGTCCTTGGTACTGAATGGGCCTCTTCCTGTCCTTGGTACTGAATGGGCCTCTTCCTGTCCTTGGCACTGAATGGGCCTCAATATCCCTATCCTTGGCACTGATTGGGCCTCTTCCCGTCTTCCTGTCCTTGGTACTGAATGGGCCTCTTCCTGTCCTTGGTCCTGAATGGGCCTCACTATCCCTATCCTTGGTACTGAATGGGCCTCTTCCTGTCCTTGGTACTGAATGGGCCTCTTCCTGTCCTTTGTACTGAATGGGCCTCTTCCTGTCCTTGGTACTGGATTGGCCTCTTCCTGTCCTTGGTACTGAATCGGCCTCACTATCCCTATCCTTGGTACTGAATGTGCTGCTACATTGATTAGTTGTCTTGTGATTGTAATTGCAAAAGAGAACAGATTTGATGGCCCTTATGAAAGGGTCATTGTGTAACATTTTTTCACCAGAACTGAAAAATAATGTTTTAATTAAAATAATAATGTTGTTGTTGTTGTTCAGTTCCTTTATGCAGCATATTTGTGCCAGTGTGTCACATTTCTGACAATTGTCATTTTTGTTACAGCCAGAAAAGGATGGCAGTCAGATCATTACAGTCTTAAAAGACAACAACTTTGGGGACAACAAGATCAACCTAGGTATGGACTTCTTCTGACAGTTCAGTTAAGAAGTTCCTTGGTTTAACCATTATGATTGTACAGTACAGTACTTTGAATTTAACAGTCAGCATGTCGCCAGAACGTACTGTACCTGTGCGAAATTAAGCCGCACTTTCTGTTGGATGTTTGGTTAACGTCGCATCAGAAGTTTGTCTGTTTCTGGCTCTATCTTTTCTGACACAACATTTAAAACCTGTAGATGGGATGTCATGCTTAAATACGTGAAAAGGACCTTAAACAGAGACGTTCTGTCAAAGTGCTATCATGTCAGGTTTCTCGCAGGCACAGTACTTTATGCCGACATGCTTGTTTGTTTGTTTGACGTGTTTGTTTGAACATTTCTTTAACCTTGTTGAACCATTGAACCTAGTTTTACCATTTACATTTTGCACACATAACCTGTTTTTTTTTAAACAGCCTTACATTTTGTACTGTAACAAGTGTTACATGTTCAATAAAAATTAATTATGAGTATGAAAAAAATTTACTGTAGTTTGCCCTTGACTTTTGAGCAGTTTTTGCAGTATTTTTTTCAGTATTTTTGGTAAATAAAGTAATCTATCCAGATCAGCTAGAGGGTTCCTGGGCCCTACTAGGGTTTGGTTGGCGTTAGGAAGGGCATCCAGCCGTAAAATCTTGCTTCAACAAAAAGACTTGTACTTCATGCAAGCACGTCTACCCCACCCCCCACCCCCGTCTGGGAAAAATTACGTTAAAACGGTAAAAAAAAATTAACATGATAAGGCCAAAGTTTGCTGCTTCATGGTTCTTACACATTCAAAAGTCTCACACAAGTGTTTTGTGTTCCAGGTAGCAACAGAGCATGGTTCTTACAACAGGTGCAGGCTGACACAGAACTGCTGGAAGAGTTAGGTGTTCTAGACTACAGCTTACTGGTGGGGATCACAGAGCTACACAGTGATGAGAAAAACAGCCAAGACCTGGCCAGCCTAGTCCAGAGAGTTACCAAGTAAGTTGATAATAATGATTTATTATTAACACGTACATTTATGTCATACCTGGGCCACAATTACTGTACATTTGATACGGGTGTTCCAAGGCCGTACTTTACAGTACGGCCCAGGCTTCTTTAGGCATACAGCCCGGGCTTCCAAATGTTCCATTATAGATGGAAATATTCGAACATGTTTCGCCCTAACTACGTGCACTGCTTTAAAAAAATTGGGATACAAAATTCAGACGTTGGAATTGATGTTTAAGGACACAAAATTTTCACTCATGTCGCATTGAAAGGTGTTGGGTGGGTATGACATGAATAGAATACAACACGGTGTATTCCGCATCACCTGCGGTCCCAGCCCTCCCACGGATCGGATCTCCCTCCGGCCTTCGGGTGATCCGACGCGCGGTCGGGCTGGTACCTCGGGCGATACAGAATACCACGTGTTGTATTCTATTATGTACCATGTACAATGTACAATGTCATATAGTTGGCTGACAGTTTATTAATTAACATATGGGGGCATGTGTATGTTCCGATAACCATGCATGTATGTTTCAATGTCCCTACCTTTCTGCTTGTCGGAACATACATTGTACATGTAGTGGTGTCAGACCATATATATATACAATGTAGGCCTGGGGTGTACATACTGTACTTAATATCATACCTGGGCCATGATAATGTTTGATAAGGGTGTTCCAACCCGTTTGATATAACAGGTTCTAAATGATAAGAATTATATATTCAGTTATCACACGGAGTTCCAAAAGTTCCACAGAATACAGGTTCGATAGATAGCATACGGTTCATACATTTGATATATACTGTGTCATATGGATTGCAACTTCATTATACATTTTTCATGTACAATGTAGATCCCTTCATCATGGAAGCCCTGAAAAGTCTGCCAACAACCCCAAATCAGCTGGCAGCACCCTGCACGAGGAAATCAGCCACTCCGCCGCGACCCTTCCTGTCAACGGCGTCATGGGTTCGCTTCCCGGCATGGTAGACTCGGTCGACGAACCTCCGCCCGACCCGAACGCCGGTACGGAACGCGAAACAGACCCCGGCGCGAAAAACAACATGATTCCGAACATCCCAGGCCTAAACAGAAGACTTCTGCCCAACACACCAAACAGCTTACACATCGTAGATGGAGAGGAGTACAGATATTTCCTTGGTATCATCGACTTCTTCGTAACCTACGGCTTAAAGAAAAAGCTGGAAAACCTGTGGAAGAAGATTCGTTTTCCTGGACAGTCCTTCTCCACCGTACCACCAGAGGAGTATGCTGAACGGTTTAGAAAGTACATGGCTGAACATTCCGAATGATTTCCGAAAAAATTTTCTTCTGAACTTTCAGTGAAAAGAAGTCACCTTCCAGTGAAATTTAACACGCGAAAAGCCTTAAACTTCAGTAACCTCAGTCTGTATATTTATACAAGTACACAAGATGACAAAAAAGTTGCTGATATTGTGTTTATTAATATGTGTTTGTACTCGACAAATATATATTTATTGAAAGAGTGGCTATGATTGCATCTACATGTACATGTATGGTTGCCACTGTAAAGTTCATGTGATTGCATCAATCTCTGCACTTAAAGGGGCATTATGTAACGTTTTTGTACGAAAAATTGAAATAGTCTTGACTAATAATTTAAAGTTAAGAAATATTTGTGTGATTGTAATTTACTAATCTACTTTTTAACATATTTGTGCAATTATTTCACATTTCTGACATTTATGGCTGGCACTAAAGCAGCCCAGATGAGGCACAGTTCAGTTTGTGGTGCCACCACAAATTATACCAGAATGTAAACAAACATGGCTGACAGCTGTGTTTCCAGCTCTAAACACACTCAATTATGTTTGGTACAGTGTAGTTTCACCAATAGCTCACTTACACAAGATTATGGTATGTAGTTATGATACTTTAAAATATAATTATGAATTTTATAATTATAATGATCCTTCAACCATATTGGTATGCAGTGAAACTGTAGATATGGCCTGTATATTTACCTGTATTTCAATGTATATGTGGCATTGCAGTACATTTGTACAATGTACATGTATGTGTAAAAAGGTTTATATATCAGATTCTGTACACAAGATATTATGTGCTGTCAACAACTGTCCTAATGTATTTGAACTGTCTGTGAAAATGGTATTAGTATATATTTATATTATATTAATGGTATATTTGATTAGATTTGATTTGCAATTTTTAGCTAGGACTAATTTCCTTATTTCTTTTTATTTGCAGCAACATTAGATTTTGATTTTTAATGAATCCAGACTAAAATCGATACATGACATAATTAATAATTAATTACGGTTCATGGCAATATTTAAATTCAAGACCCAAGATTGAACACATGTTAATTATTTCTCGTGGCACTTTTGTATGACTGTATTGTTTGGTCCAGTGTCCACTTTATATGATATTTGATCAATGAGATTAAAGTGAAGATTTCAAGAAGATTTAAAAGCCTTTTTCTTACCGGTAGCAAATGTCGCATTTTTATGCCTCTACAGTCAAATCTGTACAAGCCACTTTCCTGTGTGTGGAAGGTGTTCAGCACCAAGGACAGGTTTGTTTGTGAACATGTGTGGAAGGTGTTCAGCACCAACGACAGGTTTGTTTGTGAACATGTGTGGAAGGTGTTCAGCACCAAGGACAGGTTTGCCTGTGTGTGGAAGGTGTTCAGCACCAAGGACAGGTTTGCTTGTGAACATGTGTGGAAGGTGTTCAGCACAAAGGTCAGGTTTGCCTATGTGTGGAAGGTGTTCAGCACCAAGGACAGGTTTGCCTGTGTGTGGAAGGTGTTTATTCTACCACGGAATAAACCGCGAAAATAGAGGAATAGCAAAATTGGGCAAGAGTGTTATGTTTCATACTGTGGCCACATAACAGCATATTCTTGAGAACGTTTATTTGTGATGATAGAAATACGAATTTAAAGGTGCCCTGTAGCTGTATTTTTGCCCATTTTTTTACCGAGATTGACATCAACGGTAGTATCCTTCGTACTTAGATAATCTAATCGTCCTTCTTCGACACATATAAGTGCCTGGCACCAAAACGGGCCGTCATTGGTTGTCATAATTAGATTATCAACTTCACATTAATTATGCACGGCCGTTCTGCACACCTGTGTAAAAACAAGTTTGGTATCGTCCGTTCAAAATGGCGCTTTCGTACGACGGGAATACTTGAGCTGATTTTTTCACAACTTTCTGTGTACTTTCAGACGTTTTCGTCGATAGAATGTCTTAGTAAGTGTGCAGCAGAACGTCTGGGAGTTTGTGCTGTGTATTTGTGCCGTTCTCGTGATGTTTTGAAGAGAAAATGCGGATTTCCTGACCTGGTGAATTTTGGAGAAGTAAAAAAATGGCGAGACAGTTGGGACGAGTAACGTTAGCCTGGTATGGAGACGACTTTACTTATTGTTGCAGGTAAACCAGTACTGTTATTGTTTGGCTGACATTATTCCTTAGAAACTAGTACGAACATGTCAACATATTCCGTAAGAAATGAACTATTTCTGTATTAGGCAGCGACCGTTCCTAATTTTACACAGGCTTAGAAAAGTCCATCAAGTTGCCGCGTTTTCAACATTTTCAATGTGTGGTGCACTTGTAGAATGTTAAATGTATGTGCATGTCTTTTAGTCAGTTGTTCACCGTTTTGAGGTTATATTTGTCGAAAGAAATTCTGCATTGACCAAACCATTTCTCTCTTTATCTCCACGTGGTTCAAAATACCTGTGGAATGTGGCCATGTAACTTTACATAATTATTTTTGATGATACCGCCAAAAATTTGCGTTAACAAGATAGGGTCCTCTAAGTTTCAAGGCGCTGAAATGAATACGATACAAAACTAGTTATGTTGAGTAGATCATACTTTCGTTCTTCATTTATCATCTGCACCATATGATGTATAATTTAAAAGCTTGTTCGTTTCGTTTTTTGAGTAATTCAGTAAAGAGTACTAGTAATGACCAAGCCCAAGTATTTTTCGCGCAAACACTACAGTTGACTATGCTTGACGGTAGTAATTCCTGTTTTCAAAACATTTTGCGCCGAGTTTTTTTCGTATTCCACATAAAGTTTCAGTTGAAGGGGGTTGATTTATCTTATTGTTGTTTCTATCCCCGTTTTTATGGTCATTATGTAACACTGGTCACCTCAATTTTGGAATGTCACTTTCCGAATTTTGAGACACCTATGTTGAAACCCCTGATTTTCAACTTTGTTATTCCTGGATGTACAGTGAACTTTTGCATGCCATTGGAAAGATCATGCTATCTTCAGTACCAGGTTGCTTTTTTTATGGTCAGAATGTACAAATTTATCAAGATATTTGACTTTAAAAATTGCAAGCCTGGCGGTCTAGAACACGCACCGTCATGCCCAGCAGCTTAGCCTGGCAGTCCTAAACTTTAGCCCGCGGCCTGAGTTAGCCAGCCCGCATCCAGACCGCATCCAATTAGCCTCATGAACACCCCATGAAAACCACTGAATTAATGAGAATTCACATTTTCACACCCGTGTAATTAACAAGTTTGTGATAAATTCATGAGAGGTCTGGGCTCAATGGTTAGCCCGCGGGCCTGAACAGGCCTGTTGGTCTGTGGACAGGCTGGGCTGATGATTAGGCCTTATGATAGAGAACCTTCAGACTTTAAACACCAAACAGAAAGTGGGAAACAAAAATATGCTGCCAAATTAATTGATGCTTCCAGATTGATGATGGTTTACACTTCACTTCATATCACTTCATATTAATAAACACCCTTCACATTTTCAGCTAATATTTTCAATAAGTGATTACATATTATTGACAAGTATGATGTACAGGTATGAATGATGATAACTTTCATGAATATTCATTTTGAACATTTTCTGCAAAAGCTTCAGAAATTTCTACTGGAAGAATTTTTCCTGTACATGGGAAGAATTGTTCTGCTATTAAGACTGCAAAAAGTCTCTTTCTAGTAGAAAGCTTTTTGAACATGTTTGAGGAGGTGGATTTTGCTCCTGCTGTGCTACCTACAGATACAGATACAGATACCTGGGCTGATACCTGGGCGGGGTGTAACATTTGTGTAACGGTTATGACTAAAAAAGATCAGATAGCATCATAAAAGACCCTTGTCTCAGCAAGAACACTTCATATTAGACCTGATTGGTTGTGGTGTTGGAAGCCAACTTTTGAGGACACTTCATGGTCACTTACAGTTTCTGTTTGGCAGGTATAGTCCAATCTGTCCTACTATGGATGGGCAACTCCCCTGGCCAAATCCCTTTGAAACATCATGGGGGTAGAAATTTATGAATGAAGACTTGGCTAAGTACAGGTCACAACAAAACAAGATGAATGGACATGGTTAACAGATAAACAATAACTCCATGGAAACATTTAAATCAAAAGGAAAACATTTGGAGTTTTAGTGCCATAATCCTGCCATGTATAAGCCTCAGCCGATGTATACTGAAAACATAAAAAGCAAGGAATCGATCCTCAATTTGCAACATGAACTTGCTTTCAGTGCAAGGAGTTGTACAATGCTTTAGGAAATTCATGTTACATTTTCTTTTGTAATTATTCTGTTCCTGCACCTTTGTCATGCGGGTCATACCTCAGGTCACCTATTGTTCCAGGCATGCAAATGACCACTGTCCAATTATCAAATTAGAGAGTCTGGTCGGGTTACCCTGACATGGGTGCACTGGCACTGGCTCAATAGCCCAAAAAATATCCTATCAGAAAATCTCATGACATTGTAATGACAGTGTCAGATGGCCTGGGTTCACACGCTGAGAACCATGTCTTGGCCAAATCTTTCTATCCCACAACTAGTTTGTAGTGTCATGATTAGATTAGATTTAGATTATGAACAAAAAATTAATGATGAGAATCTTTACAGGATTTGTAATAAGTCTAAATTACAATTTAATTGGAAGTGCTTGCCCAAGGCCTAGAGTCAATTCTATATTGCTATATTCCACATTACAAATTGTAACCATTTCGAAAAAAACACAATGTTTCTAGATAATTTCAAAGTATGATTTAAAAAAAGTAGAAAATTTTCTAATTGTTACAATATTTGTGAAACATCTCAAATAGGTTATATATATAATGAAAAGAGCTGTTCATTCAGTTTGGATATTTCCTAAAAATTCAGGAACAGAACGTAAAATGCTTGTACAGCGCAGGATGTACATGTATGATAGCAGACCAGGTAGCCTGGGTGTGTGTAAGAAACAGGGGCGAGCTGTAGCGCCTATAACCCCCCCCCCACTGTTACATGGGTACCAGACTGCTGCCAGGCTAGCTCCTTGGCTCCTGGAGGGCCAACATTTGCCCAAGGAAATGTCACCATAGAGTGATAATAGACATCCCTCAATAAGCCTATGAATTACATTGTAAAGGCTTGTTATCCCCTAGACACAAAGAACACAGTTTCTTTAAAAATGGGTGACAAAAGGGGAGGGGAGGTGATTATGATAAAATTAACAAGTTCTAACTTCCAAGCAACAACTTGAAGTTAGTCTCCAGTCAGAATCTGATCAATGTTAGACGTGTTTACAACTGAAGAAAGGGGATGCTTTTGCTTCCGAAGCAAAAG